CTCTATGGGGCAGGAGAATGGGAGTGGTCATGTCTACCTAAGAGGTAACCAAGAAAGGAAGTTAACTGGTAAGAGCAACAGATGCTTTGATGTTGAGAATAGCATGGGCCAGAGGGAGCCATTGGTCAAGAATGACAGGCACTGGACATGTGGAGCTGAGGCTGGAAGGCTCTGCAGCCTTGCTGGGAAGTGCACACCTTACCCTGCAGGCAAAGGAAACAAACATTTCCTATTGGCAAGTCTTCAGGTAATGTCAATCAAATTATTTCCCAGTTTTCTCCCAGAGATTACAGAAGGATTTTATTTCATTTACTTAATACATTACATTGATTATGTTCATTTTTACATTAGATATGTATTATGGACCAGTTGTTAACAAAATTTATACCTTTGCTATAAACCATGGACAGACTATAGCAAAATGTCTAAAAGGTATATTATGGTATCTGTTGCTCTAATAAGATAAGCTGGCTTATCTGATATACATGTCATATCCCTCGACTGAAATGTCAACTTCTTAAGGACTAGGACCTTGTCCCTTTGTATTGGTATCCCCAGTAGTGATTTCTAGTATTTTTTTTTTTTTTGAGACGGAATCTTACTCTATTACCCAGGAAGGAGTGCAGTGGCATGATCTCGGCTCACTGCAACCTCTGCTGCCTGGGTTCAAGCAATTCTTCTGCCTTGGCCTTGAGAGTACCTGGGCTTACAGGCATCTGCCACCGTGCCGAGCTAATTTTTATATTTTTAGTAGAGACGGGGTTTCACTATCTTGGCCAGGCTGGTCTTGAACTTCTGACCTCGTGATCCATCTGCCTCAGCCTCCCAAAGTGCTGGGATTACAGGTGTGAGCCACTGCACCTGGCGATTTCTAGTATTTTTGTTTTTTTGAGACAAGGTCTCGCTCCATCACCCAGGCTGGAGTGCAGTGCTGCAATCACAGCTCACTGCAGCTTCAACCTCCTGGGCTCAAGTAATCCTGACTCTCCCACTTCATTCTCCTGAGTAGGTGGAACCACAGATGTACACCACCCTGCCCAGCTAAGTTTTGTATTTTTTTTGTAGAGATGGAGCATTACTGCCCAGGCAGGTCTCAAACTCCTGGATCCAATGGCTTAAAAATGACCAAAAAATTTAATATTTGCTATTTCCCAATTTTTATCAACTATGCTACTAGCATTTGTCAGTAGACGTGGGCATTGCCAGAACTGTTGTTCTCCAGCAGTCTGCAGAGGTATTCAGAAATGATTCTGCCCGTAGTCCTTGGCAAATCTCTTGTGTTGCTTGTAGGAAGCCAAAAAGATCCTTGCCTGGAGCCCCTGCCTCAGGCCTTTGTTCAAATGTCACCTTATCCAGTTCTGCCTGTCCTGATAGTTCTTACTCAGCTTTTTCGTTTTTCTAACACACACATCTCCATACTGTTTACTAACTTGTATTTGTTTATCCCTGCTAGACACTAAGTCTCTTAAAATTTAGTAGGGATCTTTGTGTGTTCTGTTCACTGGTGTATCTCAAGCACCTAGAACAGGGTTCCCCAACCCCTGGGCCACAGATTAGTACTGGTCCGTGGCCTGTTAGGAACCAGGCCACACACGGCAGAAGGTGAGCAGGCAGGAGAGCATTACCTCCTGATCTCAGCGACCTGCAGATCAGCAGCATTAGATTCTCATAGGAGCTGAACCCTATTGTGAAGTATGCACACAGCGCATCTAGGTTGTGTGCTCCTTATGAGAATCTAATGCATCCCTTCCACCCCCAGTCTGTGGAAAAATTGTCTTCCATGAAACTGGTCCCTGGGTGCCAAAGAAGTTGGGGACCACTGACTTAGACCAATGCTTTACAGAAGACCTAGACTCAAAGGGCAGTACCTCCGTAATTAGGAAGTATAGGAAGTTTCCTTCTGAATTCTTTTATCTGGCAAAAAAAAGGAAGTCAGTCAGTTCTTGGAAACGTGACTTGAAGCAAAATGATGCACTGTATAACAAAGCCAATTTTACCACAGTTGATATAGTTTTAAAAAAAAAAAAAACCTTCAGCTGAATTCAATTTAAAAGAGCTTAATTTAGCAAGAATGATTCACAAATTGCACAGCCTGCTGACCAGAGTAGGCTCAGAGACTCCAGTGCAGTCTCATGGTTTAAGAGAATTTATGGACAGAAAAAGGAAAGTGATGTACGGAAAATGGAAGTGAGGTACAGAAACAGCTGGATTGGTTATAGCTCGGCATTTGCCCTATTTGAACACGGTTTGAACAGTTGGCCACATTTGATTGGCCAAAAGTCGAGGATTGGCACAAGAGTAGGCTTCAGTCTGTATACACCTCCACTTGTTACAGTTCTTGATGTACATACAGAGAAACCTTTAGGCTGAATTTAAAATATGTAAGGAGGCAGCTAAAATTTATTTAACAATATAAACAAGAGTTAACTTCCTATGACACATACAGTATGTGATTTCACTTGAAGTCACAGTTTGCAAGAACCTACCGTGGAAGTTAAGTAAGGACTTAACAGCACTCCCTTAAGGCTTCTCTGCCTCTTGTCATTGACCATCCTTTTGTCACTAAATGGAAAGGAGTTACTAAGTCAAGAAAGAAGATCTTATTGAGCTTGCTACAACAAGCTGCTCATCCCTGCTTGCATGTCTTTAGTAATAAGGATAAACAGCATGGTGCCCTGGAAGGTGAACTTAAGGGTCATGGAAATAAAGAGGAGGTGGGGTCTTAGATTCTGATTGCAGAGCACTATAAACTGACCATAACAGATGGTGTTCTTTTAAACAGGTATAAAAGTTTGGTCACTGGGACTCGAGCAAGAGGGGTCATTGCTGTCCTCTGGGTCCTTGCCTTTGGCATCGGATTGACTCCATTCCTGGGGTGGAACAGTAAAGACAGTGCCACCAGCAACTGCACAGAGCCCTGGGATGGATCCACGAATGAAAGCTGCTGCCTTGTGAAGTGTCTCTTTGAAAATGTGGTCCCCATGAGCTACATGGTATATTTCAATTTCTTTGGGTGTGTTCTGCCCCCCCTGCTTATAATGCTGGTGATCTACATCAAGATCTTCATGGTGGCCTGCAGGCAGCTTCAGCGCACTGAGCTGATGGACCACTCGAGGACTACCCTCCAGCGGGAGATCCATGCGGCCAAATCACTGGCCATGATTGTGGGGATTTTTGCCCTGTGCTGGCTACCAGTGCATGCTATTAACTGTGTCACTCTTTTCCAGCCAGCTCAGGGTAAAAATAAGCCCAAGTGGGCAATGAATATGGCCATTCTTCTGTCACATGCCAATTCCGTTGTCAATCCCATTGTCTATGCTTACCGGAACCGAGACTTCCGCTATACTTTTCACAAAATTATCTCCAGGTATCTTCTCTGCCAAACAGATGTCAAGAGTGGGAATGGTCAGGCTGGGGCACAGCCTGCTCTTGGTGTGGGCCTATGATCTAGGCTCTGGCCTCTTCAAGGAGAAGATACAAATCCACAATAAACAAAGAGGACATGGCTGGCGGATTCTCACTGTGAAAGATAGCTACACCTCACAAGGAAATCGACTGCCTCTCTTGGGCACTTCCCTGGAGCTACCACATATCTAGCTAATATGTATGTGTTACTAGTAGGCTCCAAGAGTTGACAAATAAATATATTTATGATCTATTCAGCTGCTTTTACTGTGTGGATGATGCTGATAGCTTGAATGGATTCTAACAGACTTTTGTTTTTAAAAGTCTGCCTTGTTTAGGGTGGAAAATTACTGAAATTATTTTACTGTGAAACACTGAACTATTATAATGCAAATATTTTTTAACTTAGAGGCAATGGAAAAATAAAAGTTGGCTGTACTAAAAATGTATACTTGCTCCTAGGAAGGTGACCTCAAAAATTAAAAGTATAATTATTTGGCCAGGCATGGTGGTTCATGCCTGTAATCCCAGCACTTTGGGAGGCCAAAGCAGGTAGATTACAAGGTCAGGAGTTCGAGACCAGCCTGTCCAATGTGGTGAAAATCCATCTCTACTAAAAAATACAAAAATCAGCTGGGTGTGGTGGTGTGCGCCTATAGTCCCGGCTACTTGGGAGAGGGGAGGAGAATCACTTGAACCTTAGAAGCAGAGAGAGGTTGCACTGAGCCGAGAGCACCCCACTGCACTCCAGCAGGCGACAGAGTGAGACACCATCTCAAAAAAAAAAGTATAATTATTCTATCAAGAAACTGCTGTATTAATTTAAGGAAATGATAGTCTCATAAGTCGAATTTTGATCACATAATTTTAAGCTCCATTCTTTTCCATATATAGAAAACTACCCGAGGGAAAAAGGCCGGTGAAATGGGATTCCCTCCTCTACTAAATTCTGCCATCTAGAGCTAGGTAGGGAATTTTGCTTCACTCCAAAGTTCAAGTTTGGTTAAGTTCTTGGAATCCAAAGTGTGAAAATTTTACTAAGCAAAATTATTTAACTCTGTGTGTATATGAGGTTAAATAAAAATAAAACTTAAAAAGACAACCTTAGGGTGCTGCATTGGCTTGTTACATCCACCTTCTAAACTTTACCCTGAAGGCTGCTGGAAAAAAAGTAAGTTAGACTGAATCCAAGTTTCCCGAGTAGCAGAAAAGTCTTGATAGGTATTTGCTACACTTTAACAAAACAAAAAACATCTGCCAACCACAGAACATTACAACATCCCGGCCCTGGGCTTTTCACCCAGCATTTATTCACTAGCATCTCATGTTCTGGGGGCAAAAGCATGGGCTTTTCTTAGGCTGTAAAATCACCTATATCCTCTGTTTGTCCATTGCGTCAATTCCTTCTGCAGTATCCTGCAAGGATATTACATGCTTATGAAATGCTGCAGACAGGGAGTTCCTGTCCTTCTAGGATCCTCTTCTGGCTGTGGGCAGTTTTACCGTAAGTTCTTGTCTTATGATTAAATTGATTTTATTTTCTTCTTCATGAATTATTTTCTTTGCTCGCTCTTAGTGTCCAACTGAGTCTCAGCGCTCTCTCTTCTAATACTCTTGTTACCTATTTTGTCTTTTCTTCTTTGGACTGAAAATCCCTGGTAGTACCTGTAGTTTTCTTCTAGGACATGATTTTTCATCTGTTCCTTCATTTGTCCTGTTACAAAGATCAGAAATTCACAGAGTGAAACCAGTTCTTCCCTTGATCTCGATACTACCTCTCAAACAATACAGCCTACTTAAGCTGTTTTGCTACCAATATCAGGTATTTGAAGCTTACAGAAACCAGAAGCTCTAAGTCTTTTCATACCTGCTGCTGTTTAGCCGCATCTCTGCTATGATCTACTGTTCATGCTCGATAGTTTTCTGGACACAAGGAAATGAACTACCTACTCATCTCAACTTCATCTTACTCTGTTTAGCCCACCATTCCAACCTTTTAAAAATTACTACTAATTCAGTTACTTAAGACTAAATAATGTGAACACAACATGATATTAAGCTTTATTTGAATTTAAAATCTTGATTCCATCCAGGGACATTTTTTACGCAAGTGCCTCAGAGACTGGCTCGGGTTTTTCTTAAGAAGTCTGCACAGGGCTTCTAACCATATGCAAACCCTCAACAGCCTATGGCTCCAACCCAGAGCACCTCCTGCAGTCACGGAGGGAAAAGGGACAGTAACAAGAAGTCTCTGAAGATGTATTTCACCTCTTTTCCATGTGAATCATGACATATTAAATGCATTTCTTGACAGGACTGTATTTTGAAAGAATGATCCTCAGTCTGTACCTTTTATGGTTCTTGTTTCTTCTCCATCAATAATATGTCAGTCAACTGCTTGTCGGAGACACTTAGCTGCTGACAGGTCCTCATAACCTGACTAAGGTAAACTGCCAGGAGATGCTTGCACTGAAATATAAAACACACACACCTATTAGAAACAGGCAGAGGTGGGGATGGCCAGTCTAACCAAGATTTCTCATTACCATCTTACTCAGCAGGAAAGAACTAGGGCACACAGATTATGAGGTCTCTAGCTGATTGTCTACAAAGTGTAGACAGACCTGGCATGGTGGCTCACGCCTGTAATCCCATCACTTTGGGAGGCCAAGGTGGACGGATCACTTGAGGTCAGGCGTTCAAGACCAGCCTGGCTGACAAAGCAAAACCCCGTCTCTATCAAAAATACAAAAATTAGCTGGGTGTGGTGACGCATGCCTGTAATTACAGCTACTTGGGAGGCTGAGGCATGAGAATCACTTGAGCCCAGGAGGTGGAGGTTGCAGTGAGCTGAGATCATGCCACTGCACTACAGCCTGGGTGACAGAGCCAGACTCCGTCTCAAAAAAATAAATAAATAAAAACTGCAGATAAAGATGATGAGACAAGTGTATTCTCTTTAGAAATCAGAGTGGACAAATACTTATTTTACCTGTTGCTTTGGGAAACGGCTTAGATGTATCGGGCACAGGGTATGTAACCCCTGGTGAAAACCAAGACTAGCTCTGCTCCTCACTTTAGTCCTAAGTTATCTTTTTTCCTTGACTTCAGAAAGCTGTCACAGCAATGTTTTAACATTCCTTGAGGCACTACGCTGTTAAGTGCTTCTCGTAGATTATCTAACTTAAATCTGACAGCTACCCTAGGAAGACAGGTATTATAACCACATGCTCATCAGAGTCTATAGGCTACTCTCTTAACCACTGTGCTATACTTCTGGGGTTGGGCGGGCAGGGCATAGTGACAAAACTCTGATATTTATTGGCCTGTACACACCTCTGGGGAGATGACTATGTTGAATCTGATGTCAGAGAACGCAGCTTTAGATCTTGAAGGGGCCCTGGTTCAATCCTGTCACTTGCAGGTGAAATAAACTAACGGCACATCCGTTGTGAATGTGGCCTCTTGTACAATGGTGTACCCAACTTGCCACCCAGGTACGAAGATGTTTAAGAAGTTAACAGTGTAAAAGAAGGGAAGAATGGAGTGAACACCATTATTTTCTTCTTTGGCAAGACTTAAAAATAGCTGCCTGCTTTCAGGAAGGTAGCGTTTTTCCCTTTAGAATAAGATGTGTGTGAATATGTCCTGTTTCTGCGTCATGCACTGGACTCTGATGAAATTGGCAAAGGCTTAAAGGAATAGGCGAAGGTACTTAAATGCCATGTGAAGGTCAAGTGTGGTGTCAGGCTGTCTTACAGTTAATGTGAAGAGACTGCCAACATCAAATTTAGTTCACATTTTCATTGGGCCATCTAATTCCCCAGTGCCCATTTCTGGGATTCCCTTTTTGTCCTCCTCAAAGCTTCACTCATGATCCTTTAAATAAAAATTCAGGAAATTGATGTAGTTCTAAAAATGACATTGCATTTGGGAGGCTAAACCCCTAAGAGATCACTAACTGAAGTCAAGGACAAAAAACTACTACCTGTTTCAACAAGTAGTAAGATTCCCATTTTATAGAATAGTTAAACCACAAAGTAAGGGTGATTTCTCTCTACATTCGATTACAGTCAGAAGAGCCTTCCCCATCCTCACCAGGATGCTGTCACTCTTCCGTAGCACTGAGAAGGCAAATGCAGGACATGAACAGTAATGACAAGAAGCCAAACATGTGTATGTTTTCCCAGAACTTCCAAGTACCTAAGAAGAAAAGGATAGATGGGATCAGACCTCAGAAGATGTGCTGGAAAAACCACCTCTTTCCCTTTTTATCTATTTAAAGACTGAGCGTTGCTCTGCAAATTGCACTGAGAAGAACTGCAGTAATGTTTTACATAAAAGAGGAAGCAATGGGCCGGGTGCAGTGGCTCACGCCTGTAATCCCAGCACTTTGGGAAGCCAAGATGGGTGGATCACGAGGTCGAGAGATCAAGACCATCCTGGTCAACATGGTGAAACCCCGTCTCTACTAAAAATACAAAAATTAGTTGAGCGTGGTGGTGCGCGCCTGTAGTTCCAGCTACTTGGGAGGCTGAGGCAGGAGAACTGCTTGAACCCAGGAGGCGGAGGTTGTGGTGAGCTGAGATCGTGCAATTGCACTCCACCCTGGGTAACAAGAGTGAAACTCCATCTAAAA